GATTACCTATGTTGTGGCTGGACCTCCTATTGTGGTTCTTATGATGATGACCAGATGATCTCAGCAATAACCACCAGAAAACTTGGAAACACGGTTTACTGCTAACATGTCCAGGAAATTACAGGACACAACTGGGGCTAGACAGCTTGTGGGAAGAGGAGTGCGTGAATGGGCCCGGAATTCTACCTTCATTGGGGTTGGTGGGGACTGGTTTTGTGGAATAACCTTTTATATCAATTAAAAGAAATAAGTGCAGGAAGAAGAAAAAACTAGCCGTCCAAATCATCAGTTATTGAAATTAACCAAGATTTCTAAGACAAAGTCGTGTGTGCATGGGCGGGGCTTGTGCAGCCTGGGGACGGTGATAGTTGGCTCAAGGAAGCCATTTTTGAGATGGATGCCTCAGCAATAAAAGAGTGTCAGGCACTTCCAGTCCAAAAACAATAATAATAATAAAAATCAACTATTAGCAATTATGATACAGTCATCTTTATAACATCTCAGTATCTGTTGGGATATGCCTCTTCCCTTTTCTCTAACTATATTCCTCATTTATCTTCATTTTCAATACATTCTTGATTTTTCTTACTCCTTTACCATTATCATTTTATTAACACATTATTTAATTCAGTTTATGATTTAAAATATATTTAGGTTATAGATTAATATGAAAATTTGACAGTTTCTGGTTTAATCATGTGGTAAAACTGCATTTTTAAATATAATGAGATGTATTTAAAAATAATATCTAATCTGATTGTAACTATGATATAGTTGAACCAATATCTACTTACTTTTTTCATGGTCTATGCTTCTACTTTGCACCTATATTATGTTTTCTGACCTGCGTTCTACTAATAAAATATGCTTTATTATTTAACCTATGAAAATTTTTCCTTGCTTTGAAAATTACAGATTTTTTATTCTAGTAATTAACTAAAAAACTTAGTCAACAAAAACTTAGTTCACTAAGTTTTAACTAATTAAATAAAATAATATTTATGTGAATTAATTGATTATTTGAAAATACTCAAATTAATTCAAATATTTTCAAAAATACCAGCAGCTAAAATTAAAATATTTCTTCTTATAAATGGAAAAAAGTTTTTATTTATTTTTAAATATTTTATTTATTTATTTTCAGAAAGAGGGGAAGGGAAAAAGAAAGAGAGGGAGAGAAACATCAATGTATGGTTGACTCTCATGTGTCCCCCACTGGGAACTGGCCTGCAACCCAGGCATGGGCCTTGACTGGGAATTGAACTGCAATCGCATGGTTCACAGGCCTGCACTCAGTCCACTGAGCTATACCAGACAGGGCTGGAAAAAAGAATTTTTAAATAACCATCATATTAATCACTAGTAATTTATCCCTTTTAACTAAATACAAAGGTGGCCAAAAGTAGGAATACAGTTGTGGATACATGAAACATAGTGTATATTCTTATATTATTATTTAATCATTATTGTATTCTTTATTTGGATTACAACTGTAAATCTAAGTTTGCTGACCCCTGTGTAGAGAAGGTTGACAATGGAAATTATTTTTTTCTGCATTTTAAATATATGATTTTTATTTACTTCTGTTATCTATTTTTTCTTCATTTTAGACCAGCAATCTACTTTAAATCTAATTATCACTCTAAAAAATATTTTGCCTTTGACAGTTAATTTTTTCCCCTTTATCTTTGAGGGTTAAAACTGACATACCCAAGTAGAGATTCAATTTTGTGTTGGGTCTTTGGCATTTATTTTTATGGTGAGGTTCCATATATTTTCAAATTTGAAAAACTGTTTGAAATTTTTTTTAGTTTGGGCTTACCTGAGGTTTTTCTTATACACAATTTAAATTTAAATCTATGGGTATAAATTTATATCTACATAGTTCTCCCTATATATATCTGCATTCCTATATATTTCTCTGTATAGTTCTACATACTTTTTTTATCTATGCACTAACTATAGTTTTATAGGAAATTTGTACACACATATATTGACACATGTATATATAATTATATTTTCTTTTAAATTTTTTAAATTTAATTGTTGTTCCAGTAAAGTTTTTTTTTTTGTCTTTTACTCCCATCCCAGCACACCCACCTTTAATTTCTGGATATATATTATATAAATGTATACATATTGCTATTTATAGTGTATAAAACTAAGTTACCATCACTGCATATGGGTGACACCAAAAAAATGGAAATTATCTTCTGGAAAGTGGGTCCCTTGTAGTACAGGCTTCCCTCACAGGTGAGTGTTCTAGGAACTCATCTGTTATTAGTCTAGCAGCTGACATTGTTGTGAGAGGCTGTATTTAGCTTCTGTGAATTTTTTTGAAGACTCTTTCAGTGTGTTTGCCCATTTCACGATGGGTGATTTATGAGGTCAACTGACCACACTGCACTGAATATTATGCAGTTTTTGACCCAAAATGGCATCAACCCCATGACCCACTCTCCCTATTCACCCAATCTTGTCCTGAATGACCTTTTTTTGTTTACCCAGGTTGAAAAAGTTCTCAAAGAGAAATGTTTTGCCAATGTACAAGAGATGAAACAAAAATGGCAGTAGCACTTAAGCGCATCAAAATCAATGAGTTTAAAAACTGTTTTCTGCAGTGGAAAAAATGTCTCAGGAGGCATGGTGCATCAAATGCAGAGTTTGAGGTGACTGCAGTTTAAACCTGTAAGAACAGATACACATTCGTAATAAGTAAATTCTAGGTTTTGGGGGGACCTTCATATTTCTCATATAGTTATACTTATTCTTTATACAAGCAAAAACTATAGTTTTATTTTGATGATGGTTTTGAAATTATTTTATACAAACTTATTTTTCATTGTCTTATTTTTTATTTATATATTTTTTAATTTTGAGAATCCTAGAGCATTTTTCTGATAATTTTTGCATTTTGTATTATTATTCAGAGTAAATCCATTTTTAATTTCTTTTAAATATTTGATTTTCAGGCTTATTGTAAACAACAATATGCATCTCCCTTTCTCCTATTGTGAAAATATATTTTCCTCTCCACTCTTTATCTTAAAGCAGTTTACGAGATAGCACTAAACCAATGACTTTGAGATCACCCATCATGGCTCAGAGGCTGTCTGATTTATATTTTTATTATTCTCTGAATAGGCACTTTCATGTAAGCAATGGGTACAGAGAAAGAATGGCTTTATTTTTTTATTATAGATTTATTTCTTTATGTTCTGAGGACACGTGAATGTTTACTACCTCATATAACATAATATCCAAGATACTAGGATTCAGCAAGATTGGGTTTGCCGAATTACTGTTTTGTGAATCTGTTTTCTTTTTTCGTTAGGTAAGTATTTTTATAGAGCTAAATGTATGTACATACATATGTGCATATGTAATCATTTCCGTTTGATTTTATCAAACTATTTTTAACTATTTCATTTTTAATTTTAACTCTTTTAAAAAATATTTTTTATTTATTTTTAGAGAGAGGGGAAAGTGAGGAGAAAGAGAGGGAGAGAAACATCAATGTGTGGTTGCCTCTTACACACCCCCAACTGGGGACCCAGTCTGCAACCCAGGCATGTGCTCTGACTGGGAATCAAATTGGTGGCACTTTGGTTTGCAGACCAGGCTCAATCCACTGAACTACACCAGCCAGGGCTCCTAATTTTAGCTTTATATTTTATTATCCATAATGGCCTTGTGTGTGAGAATAGGCAATATGGGCTCTTGTATCTTCACATATGGTATGATTAATTCTCCCAATGGTACAAAGTGGGTATTTTGAGTCACAGTTTATGGATATAAAAAGTGAGGCTCAGAGAGATTAGCTGGCTTAATTTATCTAACCTAATCAGGTCTGTCTGCTCAGGTACATGTTTTCAGCTCTGCACTAGTACATTTGTTTAAAAAAATGCTATTTTTTCTATTTAAGTATATTATTTCTGTTATTTATAATTTTATCAGTTCTCAAAAATTGTAAACTCTTTTTATTTTAAAGTTTGTATTTTCATATAAACCTTGTTATGGACACATGCAAAATTTGACATCTTTGTCATGATAATTTTAAGAAACTTAGGGATAATAATAATGTTTCTGTGTATTGTCATTTAGTGATATTATTTTACTTTGTGTTTGAAAATGCTTCCCTAGGCAGAGCACAGGTAGAGAATTAAATGTTTCTTCAGAAATGTGTGTGCCATTCCTTCTTGTGGTTCTGAGCAAGTGTTAGATCCAAAATAATGGCATATTCAGGTAAATGTGATAAAAGATAAGTGTGGGGAGAAGAAAGGGGATGCTAATCAGAACATTGTACATAACGAATGACTTAATGTCTCCCTTATGCACAGAAGAGGGGCTTTTATACAACTTGGAGGAACCTGCCAAATAGGGAATCCAAAGCATGATGAAACTTCTCTGATTACTGAATTATGGTGGTCTTTTTAACCCACCCAGTGCAGAGGGTAAACAAAAATAACTCAAAATTTTCCAAAACACTCTGTAATTATGCATATTTATCTACCCATATTTTGGAAAATATTCATAACAAGAAGAGGAAATATAATTTGCACAGCACATTTTGGCAGCTTTGCTAATGCAAGGTGATTTCAAACATTGCGTTTCCTTCCCTAATTGTCCCTAGGACATATTTTTCATTTTTCCTAATTTAAATTTTTTCCACCCCTAGCACTTGCGGCAGCTCTCATAAACATGTTTGTCAGCTAAGATTTCTCTTAACATTTGCCCAAGAGCACCTTACATGTACATTTCTTGTTTAAAGGGATGTTTCTGAATAAATTCAATGAAAGTTATGTGTACATGTGGTTTAATTTTAAACACAAGTATTCACAGATCATAACACATTAACATCCAACTGACTTTAAATGCTGATTTGCAAGCTGTTCATGGGTATAAGAGAATACAGCCAAACTGTTCAAGCCTATTTCATATCATGACAAAAGCGATACTATATTCCATATAGATCAATAAATGTATTTATTTATGTTCACCTTCATTGTCCCTTAGGGTGAAGTTTGGGTTTAGAGACAGGTGTTCATCAAGAAAGAAGTTAAACCTTGGTCCATTGGCAAAATCATCTTTATCAGTGGCACTGATGGTATGAATAACCTAAAGAAAAAAAACAATAACTAGTAAATTTAACTTGGCTTATTCCCTTGATTTTAATTATATTACATTTTCAGTTGATAACACAAAAGAATTTTTAAATGACCTTTTTATGTACCTGGAGAGTTTCACATTCATCTAGTAAAAGAACCAATTAACTGGCTCTTACTTGCATTGATTCTTGGAAATACATTATGGTACGACTTATAATTACTCACACTTTGTTTTCTAGCATGGTGCAAACATTACAATTTTTTCCCTTTACCACCCACAGTATCTTGGGGCCAATTAGTTGTAACATTTCGTATGAACACCTATTTGGGGAGACATGAAGTATTGTTGTACAAATATAAACATTCCAGTGTGAATACAGAACAGTATTGCAGTATATGTTAGCTTCAATCAGCACATGCAAAAACAGGAGAGTCAAATTTTTCAGCTGTTTTAGGAGACCCCTGAGATGAGTCCCCAGAGGAGTGTGATGTGCCTCGAAATTAAATAGGAAAGCAGTGGAAGAGGCAAAAGCAGGCCACTCAGAGCTTCGTGGAACAGTTCTCATCTCCAGTGAGAGAAAGCAACTCCAAGACTTGGACTCCGTGCACATCAAGAAGCAGAGAACGTTAGCATATGGAAATGACATTACAGGTGCTGTAAGAGCAGAATGTCAATTTCAACAGCTACAGCCATTACCCTCTTAAAGAAATAAATATCCCAACAAATAAAATAATATTTTCCTCTTTTAAAAATGACTGTCCTAATAATGCTCAAGTGTTCCCTTTCCAGACATTCCTAAACAGGAGTGGGCAAAAGTAGGTTTACAATTGTGAGTAGTTTATTATTGTATTATTATTTATTAGTTGTTTTATTTTCCACAGAAACAATTGTAAACCTACTTATGCCCACCCCTATATTCCACATGTAGGAAAAATAAAAACAAAGAGAAAGCGAGCAAAAAAGAGACATGAAATTGTATTTTCTGTCTGTGACGTATAGTATGTCCATTAAAAAATTTGAAATTTCTTAGAACATTTCACTCAATTTGACCCAACTTCAATATTTAACCCTACTGTGTTGTCAGGGAGATGAGGAGAAATATAAAAGTACTGAGAATGAGTAATGAATTAGAGCTGGACAAGAAAACATGAGTTTTCATGAAGTGAAAATGAGGGAGGTGCTTCAAAATTTAGGAGTGATCAATTTCCTCCTTCCATGCACACAGCTTACTCCTTTACGTTCTTCCCACTGACACTCAAAATGCGCTATTTTAGCAAGAGACCTATACATTAAAGACCATTTTCCTTCATCCCCCAGTACGTCTTCATCCTGCTTTTACATATTTGTTCATTGTTTGGTTTCTCATTTTATTTAAAGTAGAGCTAGTCTCTGGTTAGATTGTTGTCCCCCGTTATTGGCTCTTGACCATGAGCATAGAATAAATTGATGAATAATCAGAAGCCATGCAAAGATTTTTTCTCAAATGCATGAAAAGCTCCATAAAGTTGAGAGTGTGTATACTATGACAAACATACCTACTTGCCCTGCACATCAGCTAACTAAAAAAACTGAAATAAAAATGTTGAATTTCAAGACTGCATTCAAAGTTAAGTGAAATACATGTTTTTCTTTTGGAAAATAAATGTCCTCTTAGCCCAACTCTTCACTCATTGTGGTTCTCCAATGTGCAGTCCTATTTTCTCCATGACACCTCATAACATACCGCCCCATTTAAAATTCACTTCTTACCCTATAATGTAATTTTGGAGGGTGTTGGTGGAGAACAACTAATTTAAAGCAACTGAATTATTTGTCTCCTGTTATTACTTTTTTAGGACAATTATTCTTCTCATTTCGAACTTGGTTTACAACTTATTTGAAATTTTTTAAGCTTATTTTATTTGTTAAACTCTGAAATAGCTCATATTACATTGTGTTTTCTCTTCTTCTACCTTTAATAAATGTATTTTCCATGTTTATAAAGGAATTTGAAGTCTGAACTTACCAAAAAGTTCATTTAAGGAAAATACATCTTTGTCAGAGAGTTCTCAGTCTTGTCTACATAGCAAATGAATTGAAGTCCATGACTTTTGTTTCAAACAGTTACCTTGAAGTCTTGTAGAATTGTTGGTCACACATCATACTTAAATTTTTTCCATAATATTTTGAGAAATTCTTCCAAAAGCCTAGAATGTTGGTCTGTTTTTATCTAGAATTCAGATATTTTTTGCATACAAAAAGGACTACTTCAACCCTTCTATTTTACTGATCACCTTTTCTCTTTCATTAGGAAATAAGATTTCCTTTTAATGTTTCCTCAGACTTTTACTAGGAAACATACCTAGGAAGTTGATGTTTATAACTTTCAGAAGATTTAAATTTCTGGCAGATATACATCTATAAATGCCATGTTTTTGTCACTGATATTTTCTACACATTTCTCAAATTAGGATTTATCTACTTTGACTTTCATTCTTTTAAACCAAACTTAGATATTCTTTACCATTTACACATTATGTAATTAGTGCAAAAAAAGTTTCATTATTTTGAAAGACCTGAGAGAAACAGAAACAGATTTAGTTACCACAGAAGAAAACAATTCAAAACATAGTTGGTATTTATAAATAATTACCAGTATAATTTTTATAATGCCCATGAATAAGTCTTTACTTTTGGCATAAACTAATTAGAACCAATTTTGATTTTTTAATCAAATAAATGTATCCTCTTGTTTAAGTGTGTTTTCAATAATCAATTACTTGTGGAGTATGTTTTTAGAAAAAAATAATATCACAAATCTATACAAATATCATAGTCTTTAGGTAAATGAACTAACTCTAAACATTTACACTAAAAAGAGCATTCTAGGATAAACATTATATCTTCTTCAAATTAATATCAAATTTGCTTTATAATGTAATCTCTAATGGGATCATAAATATATTTTCTAATAATACAAATTTTTGTTAGTTAATTAAGCTTGATCCTTGACACAATGTAAAATATCTACTGATCTACTTTACTGATACAAAATTTCATCGTTAATTGGATGTGATTGGGCAGAGGGTGGTGTGAAATAATAACATAATTCTTTTATACATTTTCTTTACTAAGTTTACTTCCAATGGAAAATGCACACACACACAGGAAAAGTCAATGTGAATAAGATCAGAAGCATTCCCTTCATTTATTTTTCAAAGTTAATAGGTGTAAGCACATATCAATTATTTTGAATTTACTCTACTTTGGGAACTGACTTCAAATTTCATGAATACATTATTTTCTTTTAAGATGTTTTTCATGCTAGCTACTTAAAATACTTTTTTAGAACAGAAAATATATTAACTCAGAAAAAATATATTGCTGTAGTTTAATTAGTACCTGAATCGTCTGATTTCTGCTGTATTAGTGCTTTAAACCTCTGCTTTCATAAGAGAGCAGCCTCCTTACCGCAGGCACACACTGTTATACTTAGATGCATGGAATGCATCTATTATGGAATAGAAACGTCTGTGATTCGAAGACCAAGTGTCATGTAACTGGGCAATGCAAATATGCTTCAGAAACCCTACTTACAACTCATTATTTAAATAGAGTTCTCGATTCCAAGTCTGCATCAAAATACACAATGATTCTCCAGAAATGCCGCAAGCATAAGGCTAAATAAACCAAAGACCATAAACCAAATCAAACAATAGACCATTTCCCCCGTAATTAGGGTTAATTGTGGAACTGACTACAGAGATTGGGAATGAATTGCTTAAATACAAGTGCAAAACACAATATGTTAAAATGATGTTTTTATCCCTCAAAGACAAGTCTAAATTCACCGTGGTGAAAGAAGTGGAAACACATGTTGAACAGCATAAAGAATCCAGTTATCTTACAGTGACGGATAAAATTATACAATATGAATAGACAACAATGATGCTAAATATGAATGAGTTTTTTAAAGGATAAAAGAACTAATCATAAAATCAAAATATTCAATATATTATAACTTAGGAGTGTTAAGTCTAGCAATGAACTTCTGAAAACAGTAACAATTACATGATAGAAGAGAAATACTATATAAATGGTTAGTTGGACCCCTAAAGGAAAAAAAATGATGCCTTTCACTAATTTAATCGTCCCTAATAAGAAGAAAATGGAATGGCTTTTCATGTGAGGAGAGAAATGTTCACCTAAGCAAGAAGAGGACAATAAGAGAAGTCAACAACAAAAATCTAAGCCACAGGCCCATGTCTTTGGAAGCCGTGTTCACATGAGCACCAGAAGCATCAAGTGATTCAAGAGTAAGGGCTGGTCATCGTGGGCCCACAGTTGCAGTGACACCACCTCACAGAAGTGGCTCTGGTTTGCAAATATCCCCCCCGACTCTGTGCTTTGTCTTTCATCTTCTTAATAGGATCTTTTACAAAACATTTTTTTTGCTTTTGATCAACTTCAGTTGATCAATTTTTAATGCACTGATTTTGATGTTAAGTCTAAAAACTTTTTGCCTAGTGCTAAACCTATTTTTCCCCTAAAATTATAGTTTTTTTCTTTTACTATTTTTTAAAATTTTATTTCAAGGCATTCAGGTAAAGTCACCTCACAGTCAATCACTTTGTGTTTTGTTATTTTTTCCATTATTAAATATTTGACATAATGATTATCATCAGTATGAAGAATATTCAAACATTACCTCCTCAAGTATTACTTCTGTCCAATTTTTATCTTTAAAATTCCTCTGATAATTGAATGACATCTGTGTTAGACCTGGATTTCCCATGTCTTTTATATTTTCATTTAATTTTTTTGTCTTTTAGACCTTTTATTCTGATGTATTTTTCAATTAACTTATTTTATCTTCAGCTATAGCTAATCTACTGTTACTATGAAGAACTGAATTCCCATATTTAGTTGCTGTTTTTACCTTTATTTTTTGTTGTATTTTCCCATTACTATGTAGTCCCTTTATACCCCTCTCCCACAATCGCCACACTGTTGTCTGTGTCCAGGAGTCCTTTTTCCTTTTTGCTCAGTTCCTCCACCTCCCACCCTCCTGCTTAGCTGTCATCCTGCTCTCTATGATTCTGCCTCAATTTTGCTGGATAGTTCAGTTTGTCCACATATGAGTGAGATCATATGGTACTTGTCTTTCTCTGACTGGCTTACTTCACTTAGCATAATGTTCTCTAGGTCCACCCAGTGCTATATTTTTAGATGTTTAAATCTAAATTTTACTTGAATTTTGAAGATTTTTCTCATAAATTATGCTTTTGTGATGTATGTTCAGAAAATAAATTTAGGACACATGCATCCATTTCTGACACACTTAAAATAAGATTTAGTAAGTAAATCATTATATATCTGTACCATACAATTCTTTACTGTTTTCAAAATGATGACATAGGACAATTCTTAGGTACCTAAAGTGATAATCTTGGTAACTTGTAAAGACCTTAAAATATAATTTTGATCAACTGTATCCATATTCACATTATCTAATTTTTCAAGGACAATGAATATGAGAAAATTTTATGTAAAAATTACCCATTTATGTACACATAAATACCTCCTCACAAATCACATTATTTAAAACATTATCAATTATAACTCTAACAAGCCACTATTAACTGTTCCTCATCCACATAAGATAATAATACATAAGATGATGTTTCTCAGGATTGTCATCACAAGCTTCAATGTAATTTAAAATGTTTTGGGGTGATTTCTTCATTCCAGCTTACCAATGACAATGAAAGGAACTATGTGGCCCAATGGGCCTACACCGTTCTTGCATCTCCAGATTCGTCTGTGACAGGCCTTAAAGGGATTTTTATGGAATGCATGGCTTGATGTAATCTCTTCCTCTTACGTGTGGGTGTAACCTATTTCTTGCTGCTTGCTGACCAATGGAGTATAGCAAAAATATCAATACATCATTCACCTGATTATATAACATTCTATAAAGCTGATCGTTAGCAATGTCTTGACCAGAGACACATTTCTTACTTGTTTGGTGAAGTAAATGTCCACATTTTGAAAACCCATAGGGTGAGAAACTGTGAGTGGCGTCTCAGAACTGTCAGGAACCTTGAAGAGCTGGGGAAAATCCTGAAGCTCTCAGGTCTACGGATGAAAGCAACTACATGTTGCCAACAACTTCATAGGATTGGGAGAGGTCTCTAAGCCCCAGGGAAACACACAGTCCTGATTGATACTCTGATTATAGTCTTGAGAGATGGGGAGACCTCTGCAAAGACCCAGCTGGACTATGAGCACACATGTGACCTATGGAAACTACGAGATGATAAGTGTTTTAGGTTGCTAAATTTGTGTAATTTGTCATGTAGCAGTAAAGAGAAATAAATGCATTTCCCTTCCAAGCTCCCACTTGTTTTAAGTGCCTCGGCCACCCCGGACTTCCTTCCAAACTTCCATACTCCTCTAACTAGGTGCCATAATATACGTAGACTCATGTCCCATTTTCAAGGTCTTCTATCCTTCCTTTGCTGCCCCACCTTTTTAATACATTACTCTTCACATTGCAAAATTTAATAATCTCTTTTTATCGGGATCATACTCTGGTTACACATGTCACTCGCTCATGCCCTCCAAAATAGATGAACCAGTCCATTCTCCACAATCTAGTTTCAAAGTTCTACCCACACAGGAAAGTTAAGTGTTTCTTCCTTGTTTACTACCAGGCTACGTGCAAAGCATTCAATATAATTGGCATAATGAATACATGCATGAATGAGTTAGTTTTTGAATTACAGTTGGGATCTGGAGAAAACTTATTTCCTACGATTCTCAAAAAATATATTTGGTACTCAAAATAAAGCTTTTAAAAATTATTTTCACTGAGCACAGAAATAACAAAGGGGTTTTGAGAAGTATACCTAAGACTCGGGGTGGAGAACACATAGTACAATGTACTGATGATGTATTGTAGAATTGTATACCTGAAAGCCATATAATTTTATTAACCAATAAATTCAATAAAAATGTAAAGAAAAGAGTAATAGAAATAGAGGTGCTTTTTTCCCCCAATTCAAATGAGAGAAAGTGGACAGTTAACTTACCTGGCCAGGCTTAGAATTTTCACAGACAACGATATCATATTCCCTGGCAAGTTCAGGTGGATTGTCATTGACATCCAGAATTTTAATACCCACTGTGACATGGCTCAGCAAACCAGGATTGTCTGCAAAACACACAGGGATGTATTTAGTATTTCCACGCATCCTTTAGAGTCTTGGTTTAAAACAAACCTCCTTAATGCTGTCGCTTGTCACTAGCTCCATATGCTGTGGCAGGACTTTTGGCATGATGGTACTCTTTGCTAAACTCATTAACTTAGAGAAAGATGAAAAATGAACAGCAAGGCATGACACGAATGCTAAAGCGGTATTTTTGTCATATCAAGGAAATTACATGTTATTCAGAACTGGAGTGGGAGAAAGTTGTCAGAATTCATTGTATGCTGTCAGAGTCTACAGGATGAACCATCAGTTTTTTCACTAATCTAAGAAAAGCACAGCAGTTGGTAAAAAATAATCACAAGAGCTTTAAAAAGTTTAAAGTTTCACACCTAAATAAACTTGGCAAAAATAGAAAGTCAAGTTATTCACATGAAGAATCATTCACTTCTTACGGTAAAAATGAAAGAGCATAAAAATGATCCACAAAGTTAATGAATTAAAATAAGGAGAAAAAACACAATTACCTCAACATTTACAGGAAAACTATGAAATAAAATGCAATATTCATTATTCTAAACAAAACAGAACACAGCAGAAAACAAAAATCTTAGCAAAGTAGGGATAAAAAATGTGTCTCCTCAAATTGATTAAGAAAACTTTAAACGAACAACAACAAATACAACATACATGGTTCTTCATGGTGAGAAACTAACAGGAGTTAAGGAACAGAACTATAAGAAACCTAGAAATTAACCTAACAAAGTATATGTAAAACTTATATGCAGAACACTTAATTGAATTTAAAGGAGATGTAAAGAAGTTGAGCCCAATCAGAAATCAAGCTAGCCTCCAAATTAATGTGTGTATTCAATGGAATCTAATACAAACCCAAAGAGAATTATTCATAGACATTGAAAGCTGATACAAAGATTTGTAAGCACAAAGATTATCCAGACTTGTATGAAGAAGCACAAAAAAAGGATACTTACTTTACCATCTATCGAGTCTTACGCGGTGTTAGAATCTAAGACAATGTGCTAGTATCAAAGGTAGAGACAAACAGAAACAGAAGACAACCAAGCACAGATTCACTCACACAGAAATGTAACGTATAGTAAGAATTGTGATTTCAAGTCAGTGGGGAAACTAGGATTGATGAAAAAAGGGTTTCAGTAAAACTTGTCATCTGTATCATCATCATCACTAGAAAATGGCCATACTTACACTATACACAAAAGTATATTTTAAATACTTATAAAGACTTAAATGTCTAAGAAAAACCAAACATAATTTGGAAAAAACTGTAGTTTAGAATATATTAAGGTACATGAAAACTTTCAAAACACAAGATGCACTAATCGCAAAGGAAGCACAGATAAAATTGTGTATATTCAAGCATGGTATTTTTCAGTTCCTCCAAATATGCCACAAAGGAAAAAAATCACAAAATGAGTGAATATATTTGCTAACAAAGAATCTGTATCTACAATATATAACACAATGAATTAAATCAATAAGAAAAAAGGAGCCAGCAGAATATAAAAATAGGTAATATTAATAACACTTAACAGATTAGCTAATTTAAGCTGCAAATAAACACATGAGGAAATTTCCTACATCATTCGTAGTTTTTAAAACTGCAAATTAATCTAAGTTACCACTTAACACCAAACAGTGTGATACAATGTTAAGAAGTTTGACAAAGTTTTTCCAAATGCTGGGTTAGATAGAGACCAGTGGGAATGCTTTTTAATTAAAGTAACCCAAATATAATTTGTACAGTTCACAATACTCATGCCCAGGATCCAGCAATTTCTCTGGCTTGTACTTTGGGGAAATTCTTGAACACATGTACTACCAGAACAAATAATGGAACAAACATCAACAGAAAAATACAAATGTCTGAAAAAGGGTCTGGATAATTACAGTAAACATGGCATATTTACACTATAGAGAAAATAACTATATAACAATATGACCATGACATAGATCGATTGTAGAAACAAAGTGGCAATAAAAATATATTTTTCAGAAATGTCTCAGAAAACTGTATCCAAGCACAGTAAATTTTGTAAAGCTGAAAACAGTATGCAAAACTAAACAACATATTAATAAGAATGATGCTCTTAAACACTACATCTGAAGTATAACAATGTGTTAAAACATTGCTTTGAAAATCTTTGTCATACTGAACACTCAATACTGTACTAAATATACAGAAAAGCTGTAAAACATCTTAAAAGTAATATTTTTGTTCCTAGCCTCATTTATAATAATATTGGTATTAACTTGTTTGTTTACATACAGTAAAAGATAATGTGATGCTTATACATTATATTAACATGTTTATATTATAGTTTATGATATTAAAATTAGCTACATGCTCACTCAAGTATTCACTTGTGTATAGTGACATCTTATAAAAACAATGCATGACTACAGCTTTTCAATGGGCAGAAAGTGACCATTACTTGATCTTTATTTCTAATGTTTCAAAACTAAAAGAGGATATTCGGTCTGAATTCCCATTTTGTAAATTAAAAATTGATATTGACTAAGTTTGAATTATTATCTTGGCAAAGCCAAGATTATCATTAACTTCTTATACCTTACTATTGCCACAATATAAAAATATCTCTTTTGTTGTAACTATTGTCCATGGATTTTTTTCATTAATGTTTATATTAGGTTGGCCAAAAGTTTCATTTGTTTTTTTTTTCCTGTAAGATGGCTCTAGTAGCTTTGTTGTTTTTAACTTAATTTAAAACAATTGTGTTAGACTGTATCATGATGGCTGTCATATCATTGTGCATTACAAAAATCGATATTGGTAATTTTTTGTGTAGTCATTTTAATAATGAAGACAGAAGAAAGTACCCAACATTCTCAGCATGTTATGCTTCATTGTTTCACAAAAAATAAAAATGCAACTGAAATGCAACAACAAAAAAGATTCATGCGGTGTATGAAGAAGGTGCTCAAACATGTGAAAAGTGGTTTGCAAAGTTTGGTGCTAGAGATTTCTCATTGGATGTTGTTGTTCCACGGACTAGTAAACCAGTCAAAGTTGTTAACAATAAAATTGATATATAACTTGAAGACAGTCAATGTTATACCAAGCAGGAGATAGTCAATATATTCAAAATATCCAAATCAATAAAGTTATTGGGGAAAATGAAAAATGTGTCTTCTATGGAAAAAGCTAAGTGAACTTTTTGGCCAACCCAATATTTCTAAGCCAGGTATTTGCTCACTTTTAAAAAGAAGTTGAAAGCAATCTGTTCTAAACCAGGTATTTGCTCACCTTTTAAAAGAAGTTGAAAGCAATCTGTTCTAGAAATCTGAGGCAAGAACATTTTAACATTGGTAATAGGAGCTGTAATTTATGTAGTAAATAGTTCTCTGCTCCTTCTCTGAGCAGTCAGGGTTAGAAGTAACCTTCATGTATCAGAAATAAACAAACAAACATTTTGTAGAAGAGGATTCTGGGAAAACTACATCTTCAGGAAGGACTAGAAAAAAGCAACTAAATATCTGACTACTTCACCCACCGCCTTTTCATTGCCCACCTGTCTTGCTCATGTTGTCCTCTGGAAGTGAGCAGCTTTGCACCCAATCTATACATGGGTACAGGAAAGTCATTCTTTCTAGATGGAGATGGTCTCTCTCCACGTTGAACCAGTCTTATTTTATATGCTCCGTACAGTTACAAATATGCCATAGCTTTGTAGCCACTTGGGGCCCAACTGCATGTATTCTAGTTGTTTTCTGAGTATTTACATATTGCATGATGAATACATTCAACTCTTTTAAATATTTATCCACAAGAGTCAAAACATATATCCACACAAATACTTATGTACAGATATTTTCTGCAGCTTTACAAATAATAGCCGTAAACAGAAAACATGTAAAGGACACATCAATAGGAAAATTAACAAATAAGTAATAATATATCTATAATGTAATATTAATTATAAACAAGAGACTACTGTTACTAATAATATGAATAAATCTAAAAATTTTTGTTGTTCAAAAGCAGCTCAAATTATATTTACTCTCTGCCCCAAATCACACTGCTTTGTAATTGCATTCATATGACATTCTAGAAGTGGCAAAAAAACGACAATCTTGTTATCACTGAGGGGTAAAGAGAAAGGGTATGTCAAGGAGAACCCCTCTGAGGCAAGGAAAACATCCTCTACCTGGCTGGGGAGGTAACACATGGAATGTGTATTTGTAAAACCCATTAAAATGTAACAAGATTGTACATTTCGGTGCTCATTGATATTATCCAATTTTAAAAAATCCCTTAGTAGTCAAGGAAAATAAAACATGTATGCATCCCTGAGAGTATCTTATTCATTATTTGTAGTGTACAGGTGATTGTGGCCATCAAGTAAATAAATTTTATATGAAATAAGTCATAGTTAATAGAGTAAGTTTAATGAATATTTTAACAGTAGTTTGATTATTAAAAGATTTTCACTATGTCTACATAGATGCTATAATATTTTATCATAATACATACTAATTTATAAAAAATGTATTTCCAACTTTTTCATGTGTACAGCTTTCTATTGGTATTCAAAATGTAATTTTGTCTTTCTTTCTGAAGATATATCAAGTAATGACCAATATTAATTTAGCATATGTTGTAGTCATATTTATGATAATGAGAAGAGCTGACATTTATTATGTCATCATGTGGCAGATACTGGGTTAAGATACTTCATTTAATCCTCATTGAAATCCTTTGTTAAAAATGAGAAATTATATAATACTTTTGTTAAATAATTTTCCCAAGCTGCTTGTAATAAATAGAAAAAAATTTTAGTGCAGTCTAACTCCTAATTTAGTACCCTTAAATATTACACATCATTCCCTACTAAAATAATAGGTAATAATAGGTATTTACTGATAAAATAATCATTGAGACATAAATCAAAACCTTTATGAACATAGGATTAAAAATGGAGAAGTTTATATAATGAAAACAGTA